ATGTGTCAACTGTCAGCGCAAAACTCCAACTACAACAAAGACCAGAAAGACTTGCAAAAAAAAACAAAGCATCCAACCATGCTGAAGCTAGTCTTTTTGCAGCTGACTTGGAAATTGTTCAAAACGGGATTTCCAAACTCAAGAGTCTGAGTCTGAGCTGAGACGCAAGCCTAGTATCTTTAGTGCTTGTGATTCTTCGTGGATTTTACTGCCCAAAGTGAGTGAGAAGCCTGAGCGTACACCTGCAGTGCCCAGTGTGCATATTTTTGAGTTGCTACCGTGTGTGTTTGGAATGCTTTGCAAGCTGTGTTTAAAGTGTTTGAACTTTGAACTCGCTTTTCTTCAAACACAGACTCAGAGTGTGATTTGTTCAAAAACACACACCGACGCCATTTGCTGGATGACAGTGATTTTTGCGTTTAATTGTAAAGAAGCCGTGTCAGATTGTATTGATACTCAACATGTGGCAATTGACCACACGCTACATTGGCTCGCTGACAAAACATCCCGACCGACTGCATTCTCGCTTGAGCATTTGCTTGTTGCATAAGTGTTCATTGAATTTTCATGCAAAACCTCGAAGTGCATGCCGAACCAGTGATGCAGCGATGTAGGTGAACTTCAAGAGCTGGAAGGCCGAGACTCGACCTCGCTGAAGGAGTTGCTAGGTGTCACTTTGGGTTCGCTGTTGAATTCCCTACAAGCGGTCTTGCAATAAATTACAAAGGTATCTACTCCGGACATGAGACGAAGAGCTGAAGGAAGTCGAAGGTTCAGAGAAAGTGAAAGTGGAGCGCCGCGAACAGCACAAGAGTAGCCCAGAGTTGACTGATTGTCTCGAAGAACTGGGCCATCGAGGAATGAACGCCATGATGGAGAAGCTGAAAATATTCTGAGTAGGAGTAACAATACGCAGTTCCAACAGTGTTTGCGGTTCTAGCGAAAGTCCGAAGCCAGAATCGTCACCAAGGTCTTCTGGTTAATTTGCAGCATGTTCGCTGTCTGCCGGCAGCTGCTGAAAAATACTCTTCGTGCTCCAGTGCGTGTGCTCCAGTGCGCATGCTCCAGTGCGCAAGGTTATGTTAAAGCTTGTCCTGATGTCTAGTCCAGCCTGTGAAGTGTGTTGTCTCTGCAGCATGGTCGCGACGCGCTTGCACAGAGAGGGCGGGAGGGAGTGGTTCTGTTGTCCAGCGCCTGAATCTGTATGCACGACTCAGCTTTTCCTGGTTGCGGAAAACCCGGAAAATCCGGACTTCTCACGGGTTGAGTCGCTCGGGGCTGCTCCAGGTTGAAGAGAGTGCAGACCTTCAAAACCGATCTTGAGGCTCAGTGCTCGAGATGCCACAAGCCAGGCGCAATGGCCACAAAGCTGCCACGAACGCAGGTAGCTTTCGCTTGTTTGATCGATGCGACGCACTTTTACACCGTCTGCTCCCTCTTCAGTGACGCGTCTGCCTTTGAGACTGTCGGGACTCAAGTCTTCAGATCTGAAGGTGATCCTGAGACTGGCAAGTCTGTCCTGAAAACGTACCCCGTGCCTCCCGTTCGTTCTGTATGGTTTTTAACAGTTACAGTGGCCAGTTGCTGCTTGCCCGAGGCTTCTGTTTAGGGGGCCTTGTGTCACTGCTGCTTCAATGGGAAGCTTCAGAGGTCCTTTTGGGGAACCCGGATTTGCGCCTTCTGGCTTCAAAAGCCCGCTCCCAGGTCGAGGTAGGTAGGCCTCCTTGGAGGTTCATGGGTAGTTATAACTGGGGTTATAATTAGGGTAACTATACTTATAACCCATATTGGGGGACTTATAACCCCACTTATAACTACCCATGAACCTCCAAGTACTTCCGCAGTAGCTTTGCTCTCTCCAACTTCTCGTGCCATGGGGTTTACAGTAAGTCTGCCTCACTTCGCGCTGAGGTTATGCTGGCATCCTCTGCGCCGACCTTGGGTGGGTCCCTGACCGAAATGAAGCTGGGTATTTGGCAGGATGGTTACAGTCTTCAAACGTCTTCGGGCGTATGCTGACATCTTCAATCTGGGGCTACGTTGCCGCACGTCACGGCTTCGACGTCGTCTTGGTCGTCACGTTGACGTCCCTCCTGGTGGGTGGTCTGCTGCAACTTGCTTTCAATCATGGAATCTGTAGCATTTCGTGCAGCCCTGGGGCCATGTCACCCTTGTTGCAGCCGAAACTGTGTGGTTGAAGGAACCTGCAGAATGCTCCCAGGGCACAGGAATATGCCTGATCCAGCGGAGTAGCACTTTGCAGCTCCAACGTTGGACGAATCGGAGCCCAAAGCCTAAACCTCAAGCCCGAAACCCTGAATCCGAAACCCTTAAAGTTAAAAGCCCCGAACCCTAAAGCGTCAAGGTTCGGGTTTTGCAAGTCGCTTGTACTCGCCATGCTGGTCCGCTTTATGTTCTTTGGCCTGACACACGGCTGGGTCGCCATCATGGGACCATACTGCGCGAGCGTCGCCGGGGACAAACGCCAACAGGATGTGATTCTGGGTTCTTGTTAAGGAATTTAAATTAAGTTACCAGAATAGGGATCTTTCGTACATAATGTGGTTTCCTTGTTATGGTCATTTAAACTAAATCCCTGAACAAGAACCCAGGATTGGCATGGTCATCGCGGTGGGGACAGGGATGCAGCTGGTGGGGCCTGCCGTCTCAGGCTGGACCTATGCCCTGGTTCCAAGTTTTCCAGCGCTGGTTCCAAGTTTACTCGGGGCGCTCCTGGCCTTGGTGTCTATCTCCCTCTACTCTGTGCTGCACTGCAGGGCTACTACCAGTAGTAAGGGGGCCTGGGAGAGGTCAGGGCCATCGCAGAATGAAGAGAGCGCGGTCGCCAGGGAGGAAGCCAGGGCTTCGAAGCGTTCGCTGCGGCACGCCGTCCAGAGGTGGCCCATCCCGCTGGTCATCTTCATGCGCTTCTGCCAGGGATTTGCCCAGTTCGCCATCTTCGAGGTCGCTCCACTGTGGATGATTTCGGACAGGGCAGTTGGAGGTTTGCAGATGTCCGAAAAGCAGGTGGGCGTGTTGCTTGCCCGATCTGGCCTTTGGAACATCTTCTACTTCTCCTTGGTCTTGCCCAGATTGACGACAAGGCTTGGTGGACGATGCACTTCCATCATCGTGAGTGTCTTCGGCATCATATTTTCAGTCTGGTTGCCGTTCTGCACCACCGAGCTGACAGCCAACGTGGCGCACTTACTTGCGACATCCGCCTGCTTATCGCAAGCTGCGATGATGCTTGTCTTCACAAACAATGCTGCTGGTCCAGCAGATCGTGCCATTGTGAGCGGCCTGGCCGTGACGATAGACACAGCTGGTAAGGCCATTGCCCCGATTGCAACGTCGACGCTCTTTGCTTGGTCAATCAATGCATGGGGCTTGGCGGGTCATGGACTCGTCTTCTACATTCTGGTACCTCATCTCTGCTTGGTAGATTTGGGACTTTCCGAAAATTAGGGGTACCTTATTTTGGGGTCCTTATAATAAGGGTCCTACCTATTTAGGGTACTATATTAGGGT